TTAGAAAACCAAAAGGGAAGAACATGCTCGGCATTTCTCAAGCAAAAGAACTGAAGAAAAAATTCAAGCTTCAAGTTGCAATATTGAATGATTCTATAGGCGAAATGAAGAATGATCATGAAACATCAAAAGAAGATGGAAGGAATACACAGAGTCACTGTACCAAAAAGAATTGGTTATTGTTCATCCATTTCAGGAGGTGGCATATGATCAAGAACCAATGGTATTGAAGGAAGAAGTCGAAGCTGCACTGAAGGCATTGGCAAAGGCCAGGGCTCCAGGAACTGATGGAATACCTATTGAGATGTTTCTATAAACGGATGCTGCACTGGAGGCAATCACTTGTCTATACCAAGAAATTTGGAAGACAGCTACCTGCCCAGCTGACTGGAAGAGACATATTTGTACCCATTGCAAAGAAAGATAATCCCACAGAATGTGGAAATTATTGAATAATATCGTTAATATTACATGCAAGTAAAATCTTACTGAAGATAATTCAAAAGCGGTTGCAGCAGTATATTGACAGGGAAGTTCCAGAATGCAAGGTGGATTCAGAAAAGGAAGTGGAACAAGGGATGTCATCATTAGTGATGTCAGATGGATCTTGTCTGAAAGCAAAGAATACCAGAAAGATGTTTACTTGTGTTTTATTGACTATGCAAAAGCATTCAGTTGTGTGGATCATAAGAAATTATGAATAACATTGAGAAGAATGGGAGTTCTAGAACACTTAATTGTGCTCATGAGGAACCTGTACATAGACCAGGAGGCTGTTGTTTCGATAGATCAGGGAGATACTGTGTGGTTTAAAATCAGGAAGAGTTGTATCCTTTCATCATACTTAATTCAATCAGTATGCTGAGAAAATAATCCAAGAAGCTCCACAATATGAAGAAGAATGCGGCATCAGGATTGAAGGAAGATGCTTTAACAGCCTGCAATATGCAGACCACACAACTTTGCTCACTGAATGTGAAGGTGACTTGAAGCACTTACTAATGAAAATTAAGTACTATAGTCTGCAGTGTGGATTACACCTCAACATAGAGAAAAAAAATCCTCACAACTGGACCAATAAGTAGCATCATGGTAAATGGAGAAAAGATTTCAGTTGTCAATGATTTCATATTACTTAGTTCCACAATCGACACCAGTAGAAACAGCAGTCAAGAAATCAGATTATGTGTTACACTGGGCAAATCTGCTGCAAAAGACCTTTTTCAAGTGTTGAAGAGCAAAGATGTCTCTTTGAAGACTGAGGTGCACCTGACCCAAGCCATGGTGTTATCAGTGTCCTCATATGCTTGTGAGAGTTTGGCAGTGAATAAGGAAGACAGAAGATGAGTTGATGCTTTTGGTGCAGAATACTGAAGGAACCATGGACTGCCAGAAGACCTGACAAATCTCTCCTGGAAAAAGTGTAGCCAGAATGATCCTTGGAAGTGAGAATGGCCAGACTTTGTCTCACCTACTTAGTCATGTTGTCAGACGGGACAATTCCCTGGAGATGGATATGATGCTTGGTAAAGTGGACAGTCCACTAGAAAGGGGAAGGCCCTCAACAAGATGGATTGACACAGTGGCTGCCATTAGCAAGGATTGTGAGGCTGGCACAGGACCAAGCAGTGTTTCGTTTTGTTGTACGTAGTGTTGCTGTGAGTCAGAGATGACTCAACAGCCCCTAACAACAACATGACTGGAAATTGGAGGGAACAACAGCAAGGAAGTCCTGATTTACCACTTAAAACCCTGTGTGGCTGCTAAGAAACTCATTGTGCTCCTTCAAGGTAGACAAAACTTTTAAGTGTAACAGGAAGAATACTTTATACTACTTTTTATAATTCTTGATACAGAAGTAATTGTAAATGCTTTTTTAAGAAACAAGGTAGTATTCCTTCCTTTAATTTTTGCTTTTTAGCTCCTTAGCAAGGAGAATGGTCTCCAAACTGGACATTGCAGAGAATTTAAAAAAAAAAAAAACACTGCCATCAAGTCAGTTCTGACTCATGGCAACCCTTTGAGACAGAGTAGAATTGCCCCTACAGGATTTTCAAGGCTATAAACCTTTATGGAATCATTCTCCCATGGAGCAGCAGCTGATGGGTTCCAACCACCAACCTTCCAAGCCCTTAACCGTTACATCACCAGAGCTGCTCTACAGAGAATACATCTTAGAGAATTGAAGCTCATGATAAAATATTTTATTACATTTGCTTCTACTCAGGTCTATGTTACCTTTTAAAATCTTTCCTTTTTCCTTGGTCATTCTGTTATAATAGTATGTAATCAGAGATTTGGGTTTTATATTTCTTAAAAACAAAAATACTTTGTATTTTTTCTGATTATCTAAATTGTATTGTTTCAATTACAGTTGTATAATTTTTTAATTACCTATAATTTCTATTGAGGAGGTTTGGTGGTGTAGTTGTTAATACATTCATCTGATAACCAAAAGGTCAGTGGTTTGAACCCACCAGCCAACTCTGCGGGAGAAAGATAAGAAGCAATCTCCTTCCATACAGATTTACAGCCTTGGAAGTCCCGTGGGGCAGTTTCACTCTGTCCTATAGGGTCACTATGTGTCAGAATCAACTCGGTGGCAGGGGTTTGTGTTTGTTTTATAATTTCTGTCACATTTTATTGAAAACTCTCCAAACTTTTTTTTTTTTTTTTTTTGGTATGTGTTTACAAAAGTTGAATCATTTTTTCTATGTATAATTTGAATGTGCTTTTTCCCCACAAAATAATAGATCACACTTTTGTGCTGATTACACAATTAATAAGCATACAATTGTCTGATACTCAGCTCAAAGACTTATCATGCATTATTTAATGAGTTCCTTATCAATGAGCGTTTAGATTTTTCTTTTTTGCTGTTATGAAAGTTTCTTGATTAAGATTTATTTTTAGCCATTTCTCCAACAATTTTCATAACATGCATATCATACAGATAATTAGGGCTCGCTATTGGCTTGTTATTGCTATTGACTCTAATTCAGCTGTAAACTCAAAACTAGCACCAAATGAGTAATATGTACATCATTTGGTTGGCTTCTCATTTGAATCAAATTATTTTTGTTTACTTGTGAACTCTCTTGCTTTTTTAATTTGATTTGATGCCATTTTGTTTTGGTTTTTGTCACCCACTGTTAAGATAAAAGAAGTAAATAATAATGTATAGGCAACTCTATGCTAATGATAGTGTTGGTGATAGTAGGGAAAAAAAACTTGTAAGATGCCATTCAGGTTTGTACTGTTGCGTTTGATCAACCTTTAACTTATGGATACAAAATTGACTTGAGCTATTAAGAATTCTTTTCATTAACAGCTCTACAGGTGAACAACTTTGTTACTAAGTCTAAAACATTGTAGGTACGTATAATCCCTTTTCGCATGAGACCAATTGTTTTTTGTATACATATTGTATACATAAGAAATGTTGGTATTGCAGTCTTTTTAAAAAACAATTTTTATTATTTAGTATATACAGCAGAATATTTCAAGGTATACAGTTCAATGATGCTACATTCAAGTTGTTCTCATTCTCCTTTTCCAAGTTGTTCCTCCCCCATTAACATAAATTCACTGTCCACTAAGATTCGTATCTAATCCTGTCTAATGGAGTTGCTGTTACCAATTTGATCACATGCAGATGTTCTTAATGGAGCACCATGCTCAAGGCAAAACATTCTTTACTGGTTAGGCCAAACTGTTGTTTGGTTTTAAGATGACTTCAGGAGATCTTTTTAGTTTAAGATTTAAAGATTATATCAATAGTTTTAGGGATTCTTCTAGCCCCAGTGGTTCTGGAAAGTCTAGATTCCATGCTAATTTGAAATTCTGTTCTGCATTCCTCCACCACCCTTTTGATCAGGATTCTGTAGAATCTTTGATCAAAATGGTTAAAAGGGGTAGCCATTTCCTCTAGACTCATGGCAAAGAGGGCACATATCCCATTTCCTCCTCTTATTCCTGACTCTCCTCCTTTCTCTGTTGCTGTAGGCAAATAGAAACCAGTTTTTGTATCTTGAATGGTTGCTTGCAAATTTTTAAGACCTCAGGTGCTGTGCAGTGAACTAGGAGGTAGACCAGAAGCACTAAACATGATACTAGGCCAATTAACCAGGATGTCTCATGAAACCATGACCCTGAACTTCCAAACTAGGGCACCAAATCCCATGAGGTGTTTGGTTGTACACCTCACTGGTGCCTGGCACCTTACCAAAGACTAGGAATAGGTAAATATACTCTGTGTGTGTGTGTGTGTGTGTGTGTGATTTGGGTGAAGAAGGAATAGGTAAATATACTATTGCATTCTTGATAGGTAGTTTTCTAACAGTAGTGTTTGTTTGTAATATGGATTCCCTTGTTCTATTCCCAGAGATGCTGATTCTGGAATACACTCCAGGAATTTGAGTTTTAAATACTGCCCCATGGCAGTGTTTCTGGACCACAGTTCTATGTGCCTATTTGGATTGTTTGCTTATGATAAAGTTCTAGATGTAAGATTATTTGGATAATGGGGTATATTCGTAAGGCTTTTCACTGTATATTGAATGCCAAATTGTCCTCCAGAGATAAAGTATCTTATTTACACACTCATCAGCAGGGTATAAAGATCCCATTTGTCACCACCTTGTCAATAATAAGTATTGTTAGTCTTCTTGATCAGCAATAAATGTCTGTAGCTGTCTTGAAAAGGAAATTTTGGTGTTTATTGTAGCATTTCCTAATTTTTTAAGTAATTTTTGTGTACTATATTTGTCCTTAAATGTATATATATGTATGAAGGTTGTAAGTAGAATCTGGACTGAATGGCTGGCAAACTTTGCTTATAAATGATAATTTTCATAGGAATATAGTCACTGTGAAAGGATTTGATTTGTAAACAAAATTGATAATGTAAACAAAACTCTTGGTACCTTTTTAATATGTACACCTTAAAATACGATTACCTTCATTTGTTGAGTTATTGAGTACATTTTGGTTTGTTCCAGTAGCCGGATCGAGCTGGGAGATGTGACACCACACAATATTAAACAATTGAAGAGATTAAACCAGGTCATCTTTCCAGTCAGCTACAATGACAAGTTCTACAAGGATGTGCTGGAGGTTGGCGAGCTAGCAAAGCTTGGTACAATAAGATTTTTTTGCTCCTCTCATTTGGCAGTTCATGTTCTTGATCCCTATTTTTAATAGTAGAGAAGATAGAGATGACTAGTCTAGTTTCTTTGTTTTACATAGGAGGAAATGGGGTCTAGGTTTTGAGAAAAATCTTGGAAGAAATCAAAAGAAAATATTTGAACTTAGAAAGGAAATGCTAGGTGTTTTTTCTTATTATTTAGTGTGTGCCTGTGTGTTTTCACTTCTTAGCTTAATTCTATAGGAAAGTTTAAAATTCCCAAGACAAGTGTAGGTAGTTTTAGGGAGTTGATTTTCATACAGTAGATGATAAAATTTAATGCTGATAGCAACAATTTAGTCCTCATAGAAAGGGAGAAGAAAGTTATGTAAAATGTGTTATTCTGTCTCTTGGATTTTAAATCTTTACATTTTCCTTGGCAGCATATTTCAATGATATCGCAGTAGGTGCGGTATGCTGTAGGGTGGATCATTCACAGAATCAGAAGAGACTTTACATCATGACACTAGGATGTCTCGCACCTTATCGAAGGCTAGGAATAGGTAAAATTATTTATAATTGTTTTATTTTGGTTTTTTACGTCTTCAGAGAAGCATAAGTACATTGTTACTGATCCTGACCTAGTAGTCAAACCATTTCTTTTAGGAAAATTTACATGGTGAATTTTGTGAGTTAAGGTGAAAAATGTTAAAAATCAAACCAACTATTGTTGAATTGATTTTGACTTATGGTGACTCCGGGTGTGTTAGAGTAGAACTGTGTGTGTGCTCTGTAGCTTTGTCAGTGGCTGATTTTTTCAGAAGTACATTGCCAGGCCTTTCTTTTGAGGTACCTTTAGATGGCCTCAAACTGCAAACCTGTGGATTAGCAGCAAAGTACATTAACCATTTGTACCATTTAGAGACTCCAGGTGAAAAATGACCAGTGTTTATTTCTTGACATAATTCAGTTGGAAGCCCTTGTTGTTTATTGTTTGGTTTTATTTTTCTACTTTTAAGGGCTTCTGTGTAAAAGTTGTTTCTCTGCTAGCATTTTTAACCATATCTAGATATTGGAGAGAGAGAACAAAATTTTGGGAAGAATTTTCTCACCATGAATTGGAATTAACTCAATGACAACAAAAGTGTGCACCTTATAAATACTATTAATAGTCGATAAATACACATTAAGATGACAGATAAAATTTAAAGATTGATTTTGTGAAGTTAATTATTTGTTGTTTGTCTTATAGGAACTAAAATGTTAAATCATGTCTTAAACATCTGTGAAAAAGATGGCACTTTTGACAACATCTATCTGTAAGTAAAATAATTTTTAACAAAAATTAATATTCTTATCTAAAGAATTTAATAAACTGGTAATAAAAATCTTTACTAGCAACTCTAAAATCTAGTCACTTATTTCATTATTTCTTTGGAAACACCATGAAAGAATTGGTACAGGGATTTTTAGCTGGTTTGTTTTGTTTTAATAGTAGATAAGGAAACTGAAATAAAACTCATTCTTGTTGTGCTTTATTATGCTTCAGTAGAAGTTCTAAAATCACTGGGATGAGACTAGGATTAAAACCCAGGTCTTCAGAATTTAAGGCTATTACCATCACTTTTGTCATATCACGCTGTTTGCATTCTCTGTATTTGTCCAAGACTGTCATTGACTGTGCTCTTTTGTAATAGAGTTTAGTAATCAAAATCAGAGAGGTACATAGCAGAAATGAGACTTGGATCACAAGAAGCTTTGGATTAAGAGCCAAGGTTTAAGTCATGGCCATGGAGTGTTTAGAATACAAGTGTTAAGGTTATTCTCATTTTCACTTTGTCAGTGCTAAGATTAAGTTTTATACTATTACTCTGAGAGGAAGTGAAAAACTAATACTGTCATTTACTCAAAACATAGTATGTTTTTTCTTCATCAGAAGAGACTATATTTAGGCATTTGAGACCCTGACTTTCTTTAATCTTTTTTTTTTCCTTCGTGTGTTCATAGGGCCTTTGATTCTTCTCTATAGTTGTTTAACCTGCTAAGAATAGGAATCTCTTCTTCCCTTCTAATAAAAAATATTATGCTGGATAGGGCACTTTACCTTTTGTTGGTTGCAGGAGTAAAAGTCTTGCTAATATAACAAGGTAGCATTTATTTAAAAAAACAAACACTCGACTGCCCTCCAGTCCATTCTGACACATAACAACCCGGTAGGAAAGACTACTAGGGTTTCCAAGGCTATAAATCTTTACAGAAGCAGACTGTGACATCTTTTTTCCACAAAGCCTCTGGTGGGTTCAAAATGCTGACTTTAACCACTATGCCTCCAGAACTCAGGTAGGTTAAAAGAATAAATGTGTCATCAAAAGGTTTTCTGAAGTTAAGCCTTCACCTTTGTTGATTACGAATAATATTACATGGGGGATAGTGCACATTTTCTTGAGAATCTGAAGAGATGTCTATAGTGTTCCAGCTGTCACCAGTTTTAACTAGCTGGTAATTTCACATTTGAAGCTATCTGTGGGGAAAACATAAAAGCTGATAAAATCTTTATATGTTTGTTTATTTATTACTACCTTTTATATTTCAGGCATGTTCAGATCAGCAATGAGTCAGCAATTGACTTCTACCGGAAGTTTGGCTTTGAGATTATTGAGACAAAGAAGAACTACTATAAGAGGATAGAACCCGCAGATGCTCACGTGCTACAAAAAAACCTCAAAGTCCCTTCTGGCCAGAACGCAGATGTGCAGAAGATAGATAACTGAACAAATTACAAATGAACTTTTCTTGCACTTGCTTGTCGCCAAATAAAAAGAAGCCCATTGATTTACCCCCTTTTTCTTTAAAGCTTTCCTTTCCTCCCCATTGTCTCTTTCTTTCTTTCCCTTTTCCTCTGAATACTTCCAAGGACTTTGAAAATCATGTTTAGATTGTTTTAATTTTCTTATTTTTGTGAGATGGTTTGATTGAAGGAAGGAAAAAGTACAGATGTTTAGTTTCACAGCTAAATGGACCCAAAATTTTGGGTGTTAAATAATTTCAGATTTTTTAGCTGATTTTTTTAATGTCCTGCTTTCACATTGAAGGGCAGAGCCTACAAAATAGCATATATTTCAAAAGACAAAAAGCAGCAGCAGCAATATCTTATTCTTTAATTCAGACAAGTTTAGTGTGTTTTTGGTACTTTGGGTTTGTAAAGACTTATTTGTGGGATACTAATCCCTAGACATTGCCTTCACTCCACCTTTAGTCCTTCTGAGCACTGTCTCTAGAGTTGGACCATTGTTTTCCTTGTGAGATATACTAAGCATATTTTGTTTTGTTGTTTTCAGCAATTATTTCCTCTCTTTCTGTTGGTGGTTGAGGTTGGGTGGGGCAGTTTGGATAGATAGTGTTATATATTTTGGTCTCAGTATTTGAGTTAAATTGCTTCTTGCTAATGAGTGGGCCGGTTGTTAGCAGGTTTATTTTTCCTGCTACTGATTGTTACTAGTGGCATTAACTATTAGCGTGTGGGCTGGTGAGGTGTGTGTTTTTTTGTTTTGTTTTGTTTTGTTTTTTGTTTTAATATCCTAGCTAGAGATAAGGCCTTTAACTGACCTAAAGAGGTTTGTTGTGATTTACTTCTTTCTCTGGCCCTTTTTCTTCAGTAAACACAACAATAGTTTCTCCAACTTTAAAAATGGACTTGATGTTCCATAGGTCAGTACCCTTAAATAAACCTGAAGCAGGTGTTTTCTCCTGAACGTATTAAGAAGTACCTGAAAGGAAATTTTGGTGAACTTGTGGCACAATAAATGCGTTGACTGTTGGAAAGTGCAGACTGCTAAACCTGTGGCCACTGACCATTTGATTATATAGGAAAGACTATCTAGACAGTATTTTTTGAAAATAATATAGCTGTGCTATTGCTGATCTGTTGGAGAATATCCCAGATTTGCTTACACTCTGTGCCTACAATTGAGTTTAAGGATTAGGAGAAGGATGCAGCTGCTTAAACACAATGCTTCTATTCTTGCAAAAGTAGAAGTCTAGAAGTATTACTGCAAATGTCACTATGACCTGATCTACTGACCAGACTGGTTTGTGCCAGATCATTTTCTGGTATACAGAAAGTGGCTTTGACGAGTTGGTACCTTACTGTGACATGGGAGACAGCTGAAGTTTTCATAGTCTAATCTCCAATATTTTAAATATTTTACATTGCCAATACTGACCGTCCAAGAAATGTTCTTATTAGACTTAAAAACCATGCACAGAGCTGGAATTTTCTGTCATTAGACTTTAAAAGGAGGATTGTTCATAATATTTATCTTCCTATGTAAAATTATGGTATAAAAGTCTCATCTCTCCAAACATTAAATGACAAAAAAGATTTGACACAATGTTTATGCACATTTTATAATCTTAAATTCTTTTTGAAGAATGTGAAAATACAATAGACTTCAACAGTCTTACTGAGTGCCAAGAATAATACAGAAAAAGAAGATAGTTGATGAATGAGTATATAGGGGTCTAATCTTAAAATAGTAAAAATGTGGAAAGACCACACTGGTTTCTTGATTATTGATTTCTTAAGCAGTTAAGAGTCTTAGAAGAAAGATTTAACATTGAGCACCTTTAAGTTTCATGGATAAGCTTCTGCTTGGTCTTGTCAAGAAAAGAGTGTTTGAGTTACAGAAAGCATAATTAGTTTGAAGAATTCAGCTTTTTTCTAAACTTCCAAGTATCAAAATAGATTTTGATTTGTAAATGAGTTTTCTGAGATGATACTGCCTTTACTTCTATAACCATTTTTGCTGGACTATCTAATCAGTCCTATGAATGTATCCCTAAATGTGGTTATTGAAAACAGAATAGCTGCCTCATGACAATTAAGTACATGTTATTTAAGAAGGAAAAAAAATACTACATTTTGATTTGAGGATGTAGGCACACTATCCTTGTAGAATTTGTTTTTCCACACCAGTCAACGACTTAACCTAAATTGTAAATGTTTGCAAATGGTTAATTCTCCTACATTAAAACTTGTATTAAATAATTTCATCTACATATGGAGGATGAGGAGCATATGGAGGAAGTAGAAGCTGGGCCCTAGTTCATATGCCTGTGAGTCAGTAAATACTGAAAGTTTGAGTTATTTTGATAATACAAAAATTATCTTGTTGAGATAAGACAATAATAAGTAAATATTAGAGTATGCCCATCATATTTTTCAAGACAGATAGTTTTTACTGTGGGGCAAATAGGTAAAAATTATACTGTGTGGTATTGCATTTAGGTTCTTTAAAAAAGAAAAAAAAGAATCTGCAGAGAAATCTATGCAATATATAATTTGTTAAGATTACTTTTCATTTGGGGAAAGAAGTTCTGAAATATCCCCAAAGCAGTGTACTCATCAGTTGAAAGTCCTCCAGTTGGAAAAAAAAAAAAATGATTGGGAAACCATGGTGTGTGGTGGTGGAATAGAGAACTCCCTCAGTTTTTTGGAGGGAATAACTTTAAAAATACTTAAATGGCTAAGTTTACTTGGTGCGGTTAAAAATTAAACTTGTCAATTTTAACATTGCTGTTATATCTGAAATAAACTTACGTGATGTTCTGATAGTGATCTGTGATGTCTTGGTAAATGTCAAAGAAAACATTGTGTTTTCTTTGAAAGCATTGTGTTGACTTCTGTATTCTGGGGTTAACAGCTACACAGTCATTATTGTTACTCAATGTGTTATTTACTTTCATATTTCTTTTACATCTAAATCAAAATGCATTAAAATAGGCAAGTGTAATGAAGCCCTCCCAATTCATGTTTTTGAAACTTGATAGAAACACTGCCCAGTTTTTCAAATCTTATTTTGAAGGGAAAAAGAAGACTCCATGTCTACTGGCTTATATAATGTAACTAGGTTTATTTTTAAAAACAATAACTATACTATAATTGTATACCACGTTGAACAAAGGACTTGAGGGCAGCATCCTCTTACCTTCTCTTAACTTCACAAAGGGGAGAGAAAGATAACACCAAAAACCCAAAGCTGATTCCTATGAGGAGGAAGCCAGACATGCAGCCACCCTCCAGCCTTTTTACCAATTCTGACACCAACTATCACATGGCACTTATTACTTCTCTGTTGGGTTCAGTAATTCATTGCAATGGCCACACAGAACTCAGAGAATACTCATGATTATGGGGTTTATTAGGGAAGTAACAGATTACAATTCAGGTTCAGGATCATACTCAGGATACAAGTCTTAACGTCAGGACAGCCTCCTCTTGGCCTCTCTTTAGCTTTTGGCCTCTCAGCCTGGCCTCTGCCCTGCTAAGGAAAGTGTTACAAAGTTCTCATAGCTCTGCTTATAGGTACGCTTAGGTGTACCCCACTCTGCCAGCAAGCTTCCTGCCCAACCACACTCAGCTTCCTGGCTCCATGGGCTCGCAAACCTGCTACTCTGTTTTGTGCTTCATGGTTCCACTACTGCTTTATCTGCTGGTCTTTGCCAGGAAGGTCTAGCACAAGGATCTTGGGTCTAAGGACACTCGTAGCTCCATCTCCAACTCTTCACTCTTGATGGCAATGAGATATCCCTCCTGCCTGTAGGAGGGCTCACTTAAAGCCTAGCAGAATGACGAAAAAGTGACCAGTCCCCACATTAGGGTTCTATAACCTTATTTCCATGGTGCCATGTATCTTTCTTACAATGTTAGCAAGATACCTAGTCCTCTTTGTAGGCCACAAGCTCTTTATATTTACATAGTCCCACCCAGTCATCTGGTGGGAGTCACAAAGACCATGGCTAGCAGAGCCATACCAAATAATTCCACCACACGTGTCTGGTTCAAGGAAGCTTCTTCCTAGAAATGATGCACAGTAAAACGGTACAAATATTAACCACAAATACAAGCTAAATCTCTAAAAATTTTAATGCTTTTGATCTTGGTACTCGTGTAAAATAGGGAATATAATACATAATACCTACCTCAGTTTTGTTAAGATAAAAAGAGGTGGTGGTGGTGGTTACGTGCCGTCAAGTCGGACCCGACTCAGCGACCCCTCTGGGTTTCTGAGGCAGTATCACTACAGAAGTAGATTGCCCCATCTTTCTTCCGAGGAGTGGCTGGTGGGTTTGAACCGCCAGCCTTCTGGTTAGCAGTCAAGTGCCTTAAGCACTATGCTACGAGAGCTGCTAAAAAGAGGTAGTACATGAAAAATCCAGAAACACAGAAGGGTACTAACAAGTACCCTGATTAATAGCTTTTAATATCTTCAGTTACATGAGAAGAAAAATCCAAACACCTAACCTAATGCAGTATTTTGAATATAAATGTTAAAATCATTTGACAGGTTAAGATGTGATCTAATTAGTGTACTTTGGCTAGAGATACACTGTATATTCAAAAAATTTTTGTCACTAGTGAGGGAGGAGTCCAAGAGTTAAGTGAGTAAGGAATGTTTATCAATTTTTCCTCATACCAAACATTAATTTGTCCTTAAAAAAATTAACTCTTAATTTCTTAGTTAAAATATTAGGATTCTGCTTATGCCACTAAATAAATAAATAATAGATCATCCTTGCCTGACATTTCAAAGAACTAGCTTGGGAAAAAACATTTGATGCTTTTAAAATCTGGATTAAAAATAGACTATAGCTTTTATTTATTTTTTTTTTTTT